GCGGATCTTCACCAACTACCAGCAGGACGACTGGGATGAGCTGATTCCGGCCGCGGAGTTCGCCTACAACAACCATGTTCACTCCTCCACGCAGCAGGTCCCCTTCATGACGGACACGGGACGGCTCCCGCATGGGCTTCGAACCCGGAGTCCGTTCCGCCATGGAGTCAGTGAACGAGTTCCGTGACCGGATTGCCACCGGTGTTGCTGAAGCCAAGGCCGCTCACTAAGGCCAAAGAGGAGTACAAGCGCTACTACGACCGGAGACGGACTCCGTCTCCGGAGTTTAAGGTTGGCGACCGTGTTTGGCTGGATGCCTCTGACATCAGGACGACTCGCCCCTCGGAAAAGTTCTCCCATCGCCGCCTCGGACCGTTCAAGATAGTCGCGGAGATCAGCAAAGGTGCCTACAAGCTCGACCTCCCTCCGCGCTACTCGAAGCTCCACCCGGTCTTCCCCGTCGTCAAGCTCGAGCTCGCCCAGGACGACCCCTTCGACGGACGCCCTGGCTACGACCAGCCCCCTCCGGACCTCGAGGACGGAGTTCCGGGAGGGGAAGTAGAGGAAATCCTGGACGCAAGGGTGAGGTATAAACGGCTGAACTACTTCGTCAGATGGAAAGGCTACGACGCATCGCACGACCAATGGGTCCGCTTCGACCGCGTCTTCGCCCGGAGAAAATTGCGGAGTTCTATCGTAAGTACCCTGGCAAGCCACGACACATCGCCTCTGCGACCTTCGACTCGATTCCGTTCCGGTCTATGCGTCGGGACGCCGCATTCAAAGGGGGGTGATGTCAGGGGAACCTCCCTTTCGGCCCCTCGGAGACGCCTCCGATTCCGGTCCGACTCCGGTTCCGTCTCCGGTCCGGCCCTCCATCTCGCCCGCACAATCACCGATCCGTCAACGCCCTCCCGACGGTCGCCCTGGGACCTCGCCTGCGACGCCGCCCAAAGCCTTCTGTGCCCGACAGCGGCAGCTACGGACAAGCAGTATATAGTCAGCTACCTAGCAGGCGGACCCTTAGAGTTTCTTCTCTTTGGATCCTCCCCTGCTAGGTCAGCTTCATTTGTATTCGCTTACCAATGTTCACGCTTTGGATCCTCCCCTGCTAGGACCTTGATCTCAGGCCTCCGGGGTTGCCCTTACAGACGTCAGAGTTGTCGGAATCGACTCCGTGGTCGGGTCTCCGAGAGAGGGCGTCAGGTCGGCCCATGTCGCGGCCGGGCTTGTGGTGCAGCGTGAAGTCTAACCGGGAGAGGTAGAGGGACCAGCGGGCCTGTCTCCGGTTGAGGTGCTGCGTCTTCCTGAAGTACTCCAAATTCTTATGGTCAGTCCAAATCTCGACAGGGTGCGCAGCGCCCTCAAGGAAGTGTCTATACTCCTCGAGTGCGCGGATGATCGCGAGCATCTCCTTGTCGTGGATTTCGTAGTTGCGCTGGACATCATTTAAGCTTTTGGAATAGAATGCTACAGGGTGCCACTTCCCGTCCGGGGCGGATTGTGAAAGAACCGGCCCCGTCGCATAATCAGAGCTGTCCGCCTCGAGTCGGAAAGGCCGTGCGTCGTCCGGAATCGCCAGGACCGGTTCCGAGGTGACCGCGTCCTTGATCGCTTGGAACGCGGAGGCCTCCGCATCGCCCCAAGTCCATTGCTGGTCCTTCTTGGTGAGCGCAAAGAGAGGACGCGCGAGGGCCGAGAAGTCCCGAATGAACCTGCGGTAGAAATTAGCGAACCCAAGGAACTGCTGAATGTCCTTCTTGTTTTCCGGAGTCGGCCAAGCGGAGACGCCTGCGACCTTGACGGGGTCCATTTCGACGTGGTTGTGGGAGATGATGACTCCGAGGTATTCGATTGACGATTTTTCGAAGTCGCACTTCTCCGCTCGGAGGTACAACTTATGCTCCCGGAGTCGGCGTAAGACCTCCTGGACGATCTGTCGGTGTTTCCGGAGGTCGGAATGGGCGATCAGAATGTCGTCCAGGTAGATCATGACGTCTCCGGAAAGGATGAGGTCCTGGGAAATGTCATTCATCATCGTTTGGAACGTCGCGGGAGAGTTTGTCAGGCCGAAATACATCACCAAGGGCTCGAACAGGCCTCGGTTAGTCCGGAAAGCTGCCTCCCACTCGTCACCTTCCTTGATCCGGTCGTTGTTGAAGCCCCAACGAACATCGAGTTTGGTGAAGTAGCGAGCGCCTTTGAGCCGGTTGATGAGGTCGTTGATCAGCGGAAGGGGGTACCGGTTTTTGACGGTCATCGCGTTGAGGGCCCGATAGTCCTGGACAAAACGGAGTCCGCCATCCTTCTTTTTGACAAAGAAGACCGGAGACGCCATCGGAGACTTGGAGGGGCGAATCCGGCCCGTTGACAGCCCTTCCTCGATGAACGCGTCGAGCTCGCGTTGCTCAAGGGGCGAGATGGGGTACACCTTGCAGTTGGTCGGCTTAGCGTCGGGGACGAGTTCGATGGCGTGGTCCCAGGTTCTCCGTTCCGGGAGCGTGTCAAAAGACTCCTTGTTGAAGACGTCCTGGAACTCCTTAGCCCAGTCCAGGATGTCGGAGGGCGGAGGGGCGGAGTTCCTGGCGAAGGCTTCGGCCAGGCGTTGCGAGACAGTACTGCCAGCGCGTATCTCCTCCGAGGGGCGGAACGAGGTGTAGAAGATGCGGTCACCATCTTCAAGCTGACCATCGTCATCGTCGTCGTCGGAGTCCGGCATCAGATCAGGCAGGCCGGAGTCGTCACCAGAGACGGAATCGTCTCCGTCATCAGACCCAGAAAGGTCCATGGCGCAGACCGAGGGGAATGGGCCGGAGCGGAGTCGCTTCTGGAGCAGCCGGAGTCGCCGTAGCTCAGTCCGTTCAACGTGTTCCTCCTCGCGGCAAGTGGAGCAGCCGCGAGGGCACCGTCATCTTGACCTCCTTGGTTTCCCAATCGATCTCTGGGTTATGCTTCCGCAGCCAGGAGTACCCCAGGATGAGGTCTTGTTTACCGAGATGGGTGACGGCGAGTTGAACACGCTCGGAATGGCCTTTGTAGCGTAAGACCAAGTCCGCAATCTGGTTGATGGAGCCAGCATCATTCGGAGTGCCATCAACGTTGAAGACCGGAATCGGTTGCGCCAGGGTGCGGACCGGAATGCCATTCCGAGCGACGTAGTTCGTGTCAATGAAGTCGGAGGTGGCACCACAGTCAACAAGCCCAGAAAGGGAGAGCTTCAACGCACTGGTGGTGGACTCTAGCTCCAACGGGAGGTGGAGGGAGTTCACTCCAGGGGAGGCAGCGACGGTGTACTGCTTGGGCAATTTCTTTTCCCAGGCAGTGAGGCGGCGGAGGACGATGACCGGAGTCGCGGGCGGAGTCGGAGACGGAGTCGAAACGGGGCGGGGAGGGTATGTCTTTCGTTTCAGGCTCGTTGTAGGGCAAAGGAATTGATTCGTCATACAAACAAGCGAAACGATTTATGGACGCGAACGAGGGCACACCAGTCACTCGTCGCGGGGGACAAAATCCTCTCCGGCCATCGACTCCGCAGCCGTTTCCGGCAACGCGGCTGTGTCCGAGTAGCGGTAATACACGGGGAAAGTGAACTAATAGAGGAGTTCAATCAAGACCTCAACCCTATTAATCTACTAATCCACTATTTGTTTGTGTATGTGTGTGTGTTCGGGGGTTCGAGTTGCAGGAAACAACTAACTGACTCAGAATATCCAAATATAGCAATAGAATCTGCTTATTGAGAACTTTCTACAGATCACTTTGTACTGTTGTTATGAAACACAGAAGAAGGAACAATTAAGCTCAACCTCTAAAGTGCTTCACAAAATGAACAAGAATATGTATCTGTTCTTGACACAAGATACTAACTCAAATATGCAAACAAACTTGCTTCCTAGCCACTTGTTTCTTACTATAAACAAGATCCCTTGCTTCCTTGTCCTTGCACTTAACCTAACTTGACTACTACCTTGCTACCTGGTTACCTGGTTGTCACACTTGTGACCTAGCTGCCTTGCTTACTTGCCAAATATGGTAATAAGTGGGGTGGGATTTGTTCCTCCCATCTACTACAATCGAGCTCCTTATATACTACTCAGAAATTAATTATGTAATGTGACAATTAAACCAATGATGTGACAAAAGAAGCACTATGACTCAGTTGGAGTCAGTATGACTCAGTTCGAGTCATTGTGGCTGTGCATTCTAGAATATTCTGGACAATCAATCTTCTATATTGGAATGTTCTATTCCCATAACCAATGGTTCTGGTTCAGGTCTAGGCCGGAGTTCTGTGGCTGTGCTGCTAGAGCGGTCCAGAGCTGGTATTCTTAGCATTTCTGGGTTCATCTAGGTCTCTAGACCTATCAGACTCATATAATTCTGCTATAACTTTGGAATGTTCTCAAGTATTTAGAGCATTCAAATCATAATATTTGCTCTGTTTGATCAGTTTCTAGATGTGCTCCATTTACAGGCTCATCATCTCCCTTTTTCATAAATATTGACCGTCCTCGGTCAACTGATCATACTTGTATTTGACTACATTTTTCATCAAAACCCAGCTACATTTTTCACTGGACATGGAATTACATTTTTCAGTAATACCATGGATGAACATTCCAAGGTTACTTTCAGAAGTCTAGTGAATTTAATTATCCACCACTTATGTCTGACACCTAGTCATTATTTTGCTGAACACTACTGTGGTTGTCTAACAATATTGGGATTATCACTATATATTTCCCAGAATTTTCCACAATTTTATGGCTTGCCATCTAATTTTTCTGAATATTCCCAGCAGTATTCCATCCCATATCACCTTTTTTGTAGTTATCCTGCGCGATGATATGTTATTTACATCAATCGGTCTTTGTCCGAAGCTGTTCTGCTTTGGTCTTGCACTTCTGCAGCATATATCATTGATATCCTCTTATAACGGAGTCTTATCCTAATAAGATTGTTCTTATCGGTCATAATCAGTTGCCGATCATAGACCTCTCATGTTTGTTTGTCCTCAATCGCATTTAGCAGCTCTCGAAAATCTTATCTGGCGGTCGGCGATTTCGGTCCATTTCGGCGGTCGGGATCTTCGGTCGGAATCGGTCCGTTCCCGATCACCGTTCTCACGCGCTACCTTAACCACCATCTACGCTGCTTCAGTCAGCTCCTCTCCGGTCCAACACCCTCGCGTTCGCAATCTAGACAACCTGGACGACTTCATCAAGCCCTGGGCAACGCTGGCTTCCAGCCTTTCAGTCTATCTCGCGACTTCCGCGGGGCTGTGTCGGCGACGCGTCATCGCTCGACGCTGGTGCTTCTTTCGCGTCTCGCGCTCCGTTTCGCGTTTCTTCGACGGCGGGATGCTGACGGAAACACATTGGAGTGTTTCCCAGGTCCGGGATTATCGTGTTGGACAGGGTGAAGCACTGGTATGGGGTTCCATGCGGAGGGACCAGCGAGATACTCTCGGGTGAGTGCTCCTTTTCAGTTCTTTATGAATCTAGTCGGTCTCCTTTGCTTTCGCACCCTGTACCTCTCGTGTCGTGGCGCCTGCCTCGTGCAACTGCGCAACGTCGAATCCCGCGCTGTGTGTTCGGGATCGCTCGCGATCTCGACACGAACGTGGTCCCTTTTCGAACCCCGGTCCGTCATTCCGGCTATCTCTCACGGTAACTTCTAGGCAGATCCAGGCCCTTCCCCTATGACTCTTGGTGACTCGCTGCGGAAGCAGCACCGCTATTTGTGGCCTTAGTCAGCCGCCGCCGCTGGCCTATATATATGTGGGCTTTCTCCTCCGTTGTGCTCAGCTCCCCACCTGTATACCATTACATAATCCAGTTTAATGTACCATTATTGTTCAAATCCGCTACTCAAACTGTGCAGTTCCCATCCCGGAATGCGCAGTTTATCCAAGTTGGAGTCATGACTGATTCAACTTGATCAAGTTGAATTATCTGAGCCTTGACAACCTTGATATATGATAGTACATATTAAAGAGCAGTGACCCTAGGTCTTCAACTGTTCCTTTTTAGTTGACAGGCCCGAGTTCAGAGCTCTAGGCTATAATCCAGTCATACAATATTGTATATCATGACTGTCATGTTGAGAAAATGGGTAACATAGGTAAACGGAATGCATAACTTAAATCTCATAATTTGTAGAGGCCTGCTCCACCATATCTTCAAAATTTATAAATTAAATTCCAGATTAGACATAATGGTTGAGTTCATTGAAAAGTCTTATTATAATAGACTTGAACTCTCCAGGCCAGTGGTTCATTTCCTGATGGGAGACGCTTGCCATCACCAAGCTGAAGTTTTCCTCTGTGATCCAATTTGATCCATGAATCACGAATATGCTTCATTTTCTGAGGGCACTCCCTGGCAAAGTGACCTGTGTGATCACAGTAATAGCATCTAGACTTATCTGCAGTACTGTATGACTTTCTTGCAGGGCTTTTGTCTGTAAATTTGTTGACGGATTTATTGATATGTTCAGACTGTACAGCTTGACCAGACTGAAACATTGCAGAAAACTTAATTGGTGAAGTACCATATGTCAACTCTAATTCAGCTTTCTTAGCCTCAATATAGTACTCAGCAATTTCAGTCCTATTCTTGCCTATAGAGAACTTTTCTGCAATACCAAGTAAATCTTGTAATGTGATAGAGCCATTGTCGATTGACAGAGGCTCTATAATGACTTCCATATTCATCAAGGAATCAGAAATTTTGGAAATAATATTTCTGATTGCCCATGCAAAATAGTGTGTCAATGTAGAAACATACAAGTTACAGAACATCATATGGATTGATTTCTGTGAGTCTGGTATTACTTCTGCAAGCTTTGCACATCTGATATTGTGAATATGAAGCTTTCCACATTCTACTTGAGAGATTCTAGGCATTGTAATGAATGACCTAAGAGTATCTTCAAAATTATTCAAATGAATTTTGGGCTGGTTGTATATAGCCTTCACTTCATCAACAAATTCACTATAACTGTGAGGAGGCTGGTAGCTGTCAAGGTCCCTCCAACTGAATTGTTTGACAGGTGGAACATAACAGGTTAAGCACTCCTTCTTGTCCTGCTCATTGACTATGGGAGCACATTGGATAATTCTATTTATTTGATAAATGTAATCATCCAAATCATCAGGACCATCAGTTTTGAGTCTGGGACGATCTTCATCCAAAACATTTGGAACTTGAAAAGGAACCAAGAATGACATAATTGACCAGCAATTCTGGGTAGGGGATTAAAATGAAGAAAGAAAAACTGAATTGAAGAGAAAGTAAAATTTGATCAAGTTTCTTTGTCCTTGTCAAATAATTGGTAAGTAGTGTTGTCTTCTCACTACTTGGGTATATCTAAGCTTACACTTAGGTTTTTGATCTGGTGGAAAGTGTGCAAGATTCTTTTTGAATTATGCAATTGGATTTCTGAATGAACCCCCTCGCGGTGGGCTCCAATATAATACACGGGGAAAGTGAACTAATAGAGGAGTTCAATCAAGACCTCAACCCTATTAATCTACTAATCCACTATTTGTTTGTGTATGTGTGTGTGTTCGGGGGTTCGAGTTGCAGGAAACAACTAACTGACTCAGAATATCCAAATATAGCAATAGAATCTGCTTATTGAGAACTTTCTACAGATCACTTTGTACTGTTGTTATGAAACACAGAAGAAGGAACAATTAAGCTCAACCTCTAAAGTGCTTCACAAAATGAACAAGAATATGTATCTGTTCTTGACACAAGATACTAACTCAAATATGCAAACAAACTTGCTTCCTAGCCACTTGTTTCTTACTATAAACAAGATCCCTTGCTTCCTTGTCCTTGCACTTAACCTAACTTGACTACTACCTTGCTACCTGGTTACCTGGTTGTCACACTTGTGACCTAGCTGCCTTGCTTACTTGCCAAATATGGTAATAAGTGGGGTGGGATTTGTTCCTCCCATCTACTACAATCGAGCTCCTTATATACTACTCAGAAATTAATTATGTAATGTGACAATTAAACCAATGATGTGACAAAAGAAGCACTATGACTCAGTTGGAGTCAGTATGACTCAGTTCGAGTCATTGTGGCTGTGCATTCTAGAATATTCTGGACAATCAATCTTCTATATTGGAATGTTCTATTCCCATAACCAATGGTTCTGGTTCAGGTCTAGGCCGGAGTTCTGTGGCTGTGCTGCTAGAGCGGTCCAGAGCTGGTATTCTTAGCATTTCTGGGTTCATCTAGGTCTCTAGACCTATCAGACTCATATAATTCTGCTATAACTTTGGAATGTTCTCAAGTATTTAGAGCATTCAAATCATAATATTTGCTCTGTTTGATCAGTTTCTAGATGTGCTCCATTTACAGGCTCATCAGCGGGCGATCAACTCCGCTAACATCTCGTCACCGAGTTGTTGGATCACCTCGTCGAGGATGTCCATCGAGCGGACGTCCGCCGGGGAGGGGGCAATCCCGGGCGAGATGGTTTGGGTCGCCGCACCTGAAGCAGGCGCGACGAGGGGCACCCCGAGCCCTAGTGCGATCCAACTCCATGGGGACGGGAGCTGGAGGCACCGGAGCGGGGGCGCGGGCCGCGGGTGGCACGACCGGAGCCACCGGGCGGAAAGGGGCCGGAGCCGGGATGCGGTTGACCGGAAACGGAGTCCGAATCAAACCGCCAGGCATCTTGGGGGCGGTTGACTTGATCAGCTTGGCCCGGACCAGGGCCTCGTATTGACGGAAGGCCCGGGTGCGCCAGCTAAGGTAGTCCCAGAGGTCCGGGGGGTCGTTCGAGGACGTGATTCCGTTGTTGATCAGGGGGTCAAGTCCGTGGCGGAACTTGGTCACCTTGACCAACGCGTCGTCGAATCCGGCGAGGTCCATCAGGTCCTCGAAGTCGTCGGTGTACTGGTAGACATCCTTTATGCCCATGTGATAGGCGGAAGTCTCCAGTTTGGAGAGAGCATGATCTTGCTCATTCTCCTCGACGAACCGGAGTCGGAACTCAGAAACGAACGAGCCCCAGGACGGAAACGGAAACGGGGCTTTGCTTCCGTGGCGCTCCGCCCATTGCTGAGCGGGTCCCTCTGCCATAAACGACATGGCATAGCGGACGGCCTTTTCCTCGCTCGCCTCTCCATTGACCACAAAGGCCTCAGGGGCAAGGCGGGCGTAGGTGCGGACCGCATAGAGAAACGCGCGGCCGCGTTTCCGATCGCCGTTGAAGGTGAACGGAGGGTTTGGTCGCAAGACCAATTTTGAGGCGAGGTTGATGTCGCCAAAGAGGGCCTCGGAATCGCCCTGAACCGGAGTCGCAGGATAGGCACTCGGTTTTGCTAGCAAAACCTGGGCTACTGGTGAAGGGTGTTACTAGCAAAACCTGGGGAAGGTCACCCCAGTCACGACTGAGTGCTGTGACAAGAAATGTGACATCCAATCAAATGTGAATATCTCGATGAGTTTGATAGCTATGACTAAGCTATTACCAGATATGGAAAGGCAAATCACTATTTTTTCAGGCCGAAGACCCGTATAAACATCTGGGTGGCTTTGTAAGCCAGGGCAAAGGTATACATCCTAATTGGGCCAAAATTGATGTATCTTGACACAGCCATCAAAAGTACTGATGTCAATCAAAAATCGTTCCACATTGATCACTTTATCTTGATGGCATCAATTCCACCATCACTACCATGATCTAACACCCAAATATGAATAAAATGAATTTTCAAAAAGTGTGACATTTGTGACCCTTGGGCAGTTGCCCAGGTTTTGTGAGTAACACCCTTCACCAGTAGCCCAGATTTTGCTAGCAAATCTGAGTGAATGAGCTGGGAGTCGGAGTCGGAATCGACGTCTCCGGGGGTGGTGTTGTTTGGGGTCCGCCAGCAGTATTAGCGGCGGCAGCGGCAGCGGAAGCCTGGGTGGTGAGAAGAGTAAGGGCCTCAGTTAGGCGGTCGATTTTTGCCTCGAGTGCATCCAGCCGAGTGTCAGCGTCGGGAGTAGCTCCGAAAGGCATGACAGGTGCGGGGATGACAGGAGTGACAGAGGAGGAGGGGACAAGTGGTAGGGGCAGTGACGAGGGCGGAACGGACTCGTATTCCGAGCCTGAGTCAGCGCCGAACCTAGCAATCTTGTCCGGTTGATCCCGTAGAGAGTTTCTTCTGCTGTAAGGGCAACCCCGGAGGCCTGAGATCAAGGTCCTAGCAGGGGAGGATCCAAAGCGTGAACATTGGTAAGCAAATACAAATGAAGCTGACCTAGCAGGGGAGGATCCAAAGAGAAGAAACTCTAAGGGTCTGCCTGCTAGGGAGCTGACTATATACTGCTTGTCCGTAGCTGCCGCTGTTGGGCACAGAAGGCTTGGGCGGCGTCGCAGGCAAGGTCCCAGGGCGACCGTTGGGAGGGCGTTGACGGATCGGTGATTGTGCGGGCGAGATGGAGGGCCGGACCGGAGACGGAACCGGAGTCGGACCGGAATCGGAGGCGTCTCCGAGGGGCCGAAAGGGAGGTTCCCCTGACAGACACCATCGTGAAGACTTTCGAAATCAGGAGGGATGCGGTTCGGGCAAAAATTCGCGAAAACATCAAGATTTTCAGGGACCAGGCGATGCTGGAGCTAGCAGAGGCAGAACACGAACTTAGCAAGGAGCGGGCGGGCACGAGAAGAGGCAGAGCGCAAACAACAAGATGCAGAGCGCAAACTTGGCGAGGAGAGACGGGCACGAGAAGAGGCAGAGCGTAGGCTAGCAGAGGAGCAACAGGCGCGGCAAGACGAGGTAGCTGAGCTGGAGAGTGAAAAGAAGGGACTAGTCGAGAGACTTCAACGTTTCGCGCGCGCCTTTACTAGTACCCCACTACAGTCCACTAGCTCTTGATCGAAACCTTCTTTTCTTCGAGTACCCCTACTTGCCTCATATAATGTACGATGCCATTATGCTTTCCTTTACCTCCTGGATTCCCTCTAATTTAAATTGACTGTGTTCGTTCAAGGTGAACAAAAGCTTCGTTGTCTTTTTGTACACCAACGAATAGCCATAACGATAAATTACGAATACTCCTTCTGAACAAACTTGGCAATCGTTTGCAGCTGGATATTCGACGTCCCCTCGTATATCGCGCCCTGTCCCAATCTAAGTCAATGGTAAACCCAGTAAAGCAACCACTCACAATCTTCGAGTCCTGTCAGTACTTCTCGATCCCCGTTTCCCGCGTGAAGCCGACCCTGCCCAATCACTCGATCGCCTGTCCGCTCACCCGTTGCGTTCTCAGCGGGTATTTTGAGGTCGTCAAAGTTGAGTGTGCAAGTGGAAGACGCGCGGATGCCGAAGTTTCTGCTCTTTCTTGGAGATTTGGATGCCCATGTCCTTGGTTGTGACGAAACAGGTGATCCCCTTGTATCCTTTACTCGGGTCAATCTGAATTAGGTGAGCTATGCAGCAATAGATTGAAGCAAGCTCACATTGGCGAATATAAGAAATATTTCAGCTTCGTACGAGTTTGTTATCCGCATCTTGGAGCCGTTTATTACGAGTCGCCGTCTTTCTTGGCACGTGTCTGAAGAGCAAACACGTCTGACCCGGAGGCTGGTTCAGAGAGGCAGAACGAGCCGAGCTGCAATAACCGAGTTAGAGGCCATGACCAAAGACCCCCAATGTAACGCGCCTTGGATTCAGCGAGCTGTGGTAGCCATTTGTCTTGCTGCTCTTTTGTTCGCGTATCTCCGGAATATCGTGTTGACCAGTGTGTTGTGGACGTCGCAGAGGACAGAGATAGAGGGGTCGACTTTGACAAGCTCTTCCGTCACGGTAGCGATGATGGCAGAAGTGAACGAAGACTCTCTGCCACACATTGCCGCTTTCATGCCTACTGTCACGATCCCGGCTCTCCTGGTTGATTGTAAGGGCAACCCTGGAGACTCCGACGAAAGCCTAGCAGGGGAGGATCCAAAGCGTGAATAAGACTACGGGAAATACACGGAGGGACCGACCTAGCAGGGGAGGATCCAAAGAGAAGAAACTCTAAGGGTCCGCCTGCTAGGGCGCCAACTATATACTGGTCGTCCGTAACTGCCGACGTAGAGCGCAGAAGGCCTGAGCGGCGTCGCAGGCTCTGTCCCAAGGTGATCGTTGGGAGGGTCTTGACGGATCGGTGATTGTGCGGGCGAAGGAGGCCGTGGACGATGGTCGGGGTGGGTCGGAGCGTCCGAGGGGCGCCGGTCGGATGCGCCTCGGATGCGTTCGGAGGGTCCGAAGGAGGCCGAGCGGGGGGTTCCCCTGACATCACCCCCCCTTTGAATGCGGCATCCCGACGCATAGTTCGGAAGGGCAAGGAGTTGAAGGTCGCTGAGGCGATGTGCCGTGGTTTACCTGGGTACCTCCGATAGAAGTCCGCAATTTTGTCTGGCGCGAAGACACGGTCGAACCGAACCCACGAGTCGTGCGAAGCATCGTAGCCTTTCCACCTGACGAAGTAGTTAAGACGCTTATACCTTATCCTGGCATCCAAGATTTCCTCGACTTCCCATTCAGGGACTCCGTCCTCTAGTTCGGGGGGCGGTTCGTCGTAGCCGGGTTGTCCATTGAAGGGGTCGTCCTGAGCAAGCTCGAGTTTAACAACGGGGAAGACTCGGTGGAGCTTGGAGTAACGCGGGGGGAGGTCGAGCTTGTAGGCACCTTTGCTAACCTCTGCGAGCACCTTTAACGGTCCGAGGCGCTTGTGGGAGAACTTCTCGGAGGGCCGAGTTGTTCTGATGTCAGAGGCATCTAACCAAACCTTATCACCAACTTGAATATTCGAGAGCGTCCGATCGTCTCCGATCGTAGTACCGTTTATACTCGTCTTTGGCTTTGGCGAGCGCGGCCTTCGCCTCGGAGACGCCATTCGCTATCCGATCGCGAAACTCGTTCACTGACTCCAACTCTGAGCGGGTGCCCGGCTCGAAACCCATTCGGGGGAGCCGGCCAGTGTCCGTCATAAAGGGTACCTGTTGAGTGGAGGAGTGAACGTGGTTGTTATAGGCGAACTCAGCGGCAGGGATAAGCTCGTCCCAGTCGTCTTGTTGGTAGTTGGTGAAGATTCGGATGTACTGCTCAAGCTCCTGGTTAACGCGTTCGGTTTGTCCGTCGGTCTGCGGGTGGTAAGCCGTAGAGGTAGCCGGCTTGACGCCAATTAAGCGCCAGAGTTCGCGTAAAGTCAGCGATGAACTGCGAACCGCGGTCCGAAATGTACTTCTCGGGGTTCCGTGGTGTCTCCAGACGTTCCGATAGTACAAGCGGGCAGCTCCGACCGCGTCTATTGTCGTATGGCATTCGGTGAAGTGAGCGCGTTTCCCGAGGGGTCAACCACTACCATAACCGCGTCATACCCATGGGCCTCCGGGAGCTCGACGATGAAGTCCACAGTGACGGTGTGCCAGCGCTCGGGGGGGACTTCGGTTGGATGTAGCTCCCCGTGCGGAAGCCTTCGGAGGGCCTTCGTACGACAGCATAAGTCGCAGGTCGTGACGTAGCGTCCGATATGGCGGGACATCTGTGGCCACGAGTAGTTGCGCGAAACCAACTCCAGGGTCTTGAACCGCCCGGCATGTCCGGCGACACGCGTGTCGTGGCAGAGCTCTATAATGCGCCTCCTCAGGTCTTTGTCTTTGGGGACTACGACCTTGCCGCGGAAGTACAGGAGGTCGCCTGAGACGGCCCACTCGTCCGAACGCGATGAGCGGGGGCCCCGAGCTTGACCTCGGACCTTCAAGAGTTGCCGAGCCACAAGTGCGACGGGTTCCTCTAGGTCAGGCTCACCGGATAGCGCTTCCTTGATGTCGCGGACAAGTTCGGAGCCAGGCCCAGAGACAGTGACGGCCTCAAGCGCGAAACGTGGAACAGTTCGGGGCGTAAGAGGGTGACATCCGAGTTGTCGTCGGAGACACCGTGGTCAGGCCGGGGGGAGAGAGCATCGGGACGGCCCATCTGGCGACCTGGGACGTGGTGCAGCGTAAAGTCAAACCTGGAAAGGTACAACGACCATCGGGCTTGCCGACGATTAAGGTGTTGCGCCTTTCGGAAGTATTCCAAGTTCTTATGGTCAGTCCAGATCTCAACCGGATGCGCGGCGCCCTCGAGGAAATGCCGATACTCCTCGAGTGCGCGGATGATCGCGAGCATCTCCTTGTCGTGAATCTCGTAGTTGCGCTGGACATCATTTAAGCTTTTGGAATAGAACGCTACAGGGTGCCACTTCCTGTCCGGGGCGGATTGTTGTGAAAGAACCGCCCCCGTCGCATAATCTGAGCTGTCTGCAGCTCATATAGCTGTATCTATGCAAAAGATGTGGGCCAGTGCCCAGAGGGGTAATGCAAAAGATGAGGGCAATGGCCCAACAAGTATTTTCTTTAATGATATTTCTTTAATTCTAAGCCCTGTAGAGTGGTATCAGTGATGGGATTGATGGCATCTAGCTAAGTTGACTAATGTGGAACTCTTTCTGATGGCCATCAGTGAGTTTGATCACTGTGTACAGCTAGATCAATGTTATGTAAGTGATGATTGATTTCCTTGTTTTTGTGTTATTAGGACTATAATATTACATACCGCATATTCGCCCTGAAGAAAAGGTGATTCCTATTACTTCTTATGTAATTGGCTTAGTCATATACTTCAAATGCAATGAGAAATTCAACAATTATACCAGGTTCAACATCTTTTGCATTATACTCAACATCTTTTGCATTGGCTCCTTGGGTACTTGCCCACATCTTTTGTGTAGAATGAGCTATAGAGGGTGCTGTCTGCTTCAAGTCGGAAAGGCCGAGAGTCGTCCGGGATTGCTAAGACAGGTTCTGATACGACCGCGTCCTTGATGGCTTGAAAGGCGGCGGCTTCGGCGTCTCCCCAGGTCCATTTCTGGTCTTTCTTGGTGAGCGCAAAGAGAGGTTGCGCTAGGGCCGAGAAATCCCGAATGAACCTGCGGTAGAAATTAGCAAACCCCAGGAACTGCTGAACGTCCTTCTTGTTTTCGGGCGGAGGCCATGCGGAGACTCCGGCGACCTTAACGGGGTCCATTTCGACATGGTTGTGCGAGATAATGACCCCCAAGTACTCGATTGATGATTTCTCGAAGTCGCACTTTTCCTTGCGAAGGTACAACTTGTGCATTCGAGCCGCCGAAGGACCTCCCGGACGATCTCGCGGTGCTTGCGGAGGTCCGAATGTGCGATAAGGATGTCGTCGAGGTAGATCATAATGTCGCCTGAAAGAATGAGATCCTGGAAAATGTCATTCATCATCGTTTGGAACGTCGCGGGGAGTTTGTCAGGCCGAAATACATCACCAAAGGTTCGAACAACCCTCGGTTAGTCCGAAAGGCCGCCTTCCACTCGTCTCCTTCTTTAATCCGGACGTTATTAAAACCCCAGCGAACGTCGAGTTTGGTGAAGTAATGAGCGCCCTTGAGCCTGTTGATAAGGTCGTTAATCAACGGAAGGGGGTACTGGTTCTTAATCGTCATTGCGTTGAGGGCGCGGTAGTCCTGGACAAACCGAAGCCCTCCGTCCTTTTTCTTAACGAAGAAGACGGGGGAGGCCATCGGAGATTTCGAAGGGCGAATACGGCCTGTGGCAAGTCCTTCCTCGATGAACTCGTCAAGTTCGCTGTTCGAGGGGAGAGATCGGATACACCTTGCAGTTAGCGGGCTTCGGCGTCGGGGACGAGTTCGATAGCGTGGTCCCAAGCCCTTCGTTCTGGTAACGTGTCAAAGGACTCCTTGTCAAAGACGTCTTGGAACTCCTTGGCCCAGTCCGGGATCTCCGAAGGCGGGGGGCCGAGTACGGGCCAAGGCCTCTACAAGGCGTTGGGACACTGTACTGCCAGCGCGGATCTCCTCAACTGGGCGAAAGGAGGTGTAGAAGATGCGGTCGCCGTCTTCAAGATGCTCGTCGCCATCGAGATCTGGTGAGGGCTCCGGAGGGTCCGGAGCAGCTCCGAGCTCGTCGTCAGCATCATCTGGGCCAGCGATATCAATAGCGCAAACAGTGGGGAAGGCGCCCGCAAGTAGTCGTGATTTAAGGAGTCGGAGCCGCCGAACCTCGGCGCTGTCGGTCCGCTCTTCGTCACGGCAGGTAGAGCAGCTGCGGGGGCAACGACTCATTTTCACCTCCTTTGTTTCCCAGTTGATCTCGGGGTTATGCTTTTTGAGCCAGGAGTATCCGAGTATCAGGTCCTGTTTCCCAAGGTGGGTTACAGCCAGCTGAACGCGTTCGAGTGTCCGTTGTACCGTAGAACGAGGTCCGCGATTTGGCAAATAGACCCAGCATCATTGGGGGTGCCGTCGACGTTGTAGACCGGGATGGGTACTGAGAGATTTCGGACTGGCACATTATTCCGGTTGACATATTCTGTGTCGATAAAGTCCGAAGTAGCTCCGCAGTCGACCAGACCCGAGAGGGAGAGCTTGAGCGCGTTCGCAGTGGACTCAAGTTCAAGGGGGAGGTGCAGCGAGTTAACGCCAGGAGCGGCAGAG